TTTAAAATATTCGTTAATCGATTTGGATTGTATGTAATTATAAAAATCTATCTTTACCTGGAATTATGGAATTATTCAATATTTTCACAAAGGATTCATCTCGCGATCTAATATACATTTATTACATTGGATTCAATATATTTTTCGAATAGATAAATGAAGTCTAATATTAAATTACTTTCTTATATCATAGTGTAATTAAAATAAAGTAAAAACAGCAAATTACTTAAGCAACGATAATGTTATTAATAATGCAAAAGCATTTCGTTCCAAGAGAATTATGATATATCGCCATTTCTCTATTGTCCTTTAAAGTATATAAATTAATGATTAAATTGCGGATGATAAGAATTCAGTTTCCATACATTTGTCTACTTAGTTATATAATTATGTCTACTTATTTATATAATTTATATAAATTATTTATATAAAATAATTTTGAATAAATTAGTCAATGATAATTCATTGAACAGTTACACATCGATACGATTGAGAATATTTTATGTACCGACAGAAAGCAGTGATTTAAAACTATTTAGAATAGAAATTCACGTATAAGTTTCGGTTATATATATATATATATATATATATATATATATATATTTTTTTTTGTTTGTTTATTATTATTTTCCATATCCTTGAAATTCTAGGAGCTTGGAATGAATATATATATATATATATATATATATACATACATACATATACGCATATACATAATTGGTATATCTCTCAAAATAATCTAATCACCAATTTCCTATGATAATGTGATTGATTGTGTTAAAATAAACTATTTAATTGAAATAAATTTAATAATAAGTATTTATTTAAAATGTATATAAATCGAAGTACACTTTTCTTTCTTATATATACATACACGTAAATTTTATTTCTGTATGCATAATTTTCTATTCTGAATCGAAGAATTGGAATTTCTTTTTGAAACATCAACATATACTTAATATAAAATTCAGACATTTTTTCAATTATTATTTTAAATTTATTATTTATTTATGAGATTTCATAGATTTAATTGATTTTCACTGGCCTTTATAAATAAAGCGAATAATGGTACTTTTAAGTATCCTATAATAGAGATAATTAGTTATTGTCAAAATTATCTTCCATTCCATTAAAATTGATCTTCCAAGCTCCTTCGACTATTACTACCATAATAAGACATTTTTTAATTAATTTTTTTTCTTTCCCCCGATTAAATGTAGGCCCCTGTGAACATTGTTATTTATATAACAAAAACTACAGGTAAAAGTTCATTGTTTTTATTATTGTCGTTCCCTAATTATCGTGTAATCATTTTCGTTATGAATTTTATTTTATCCCATCCTCGTCTTTCTAATTATTGTCGGTAACAGATTAATTTTATTGTCATTCATATTTATTGCAGAGATAATCATATTGTATAAAAATCAGACAGTAATTATATATTAAATATATATATATATATATATATATATATATATATATATAATATAAATAACGATAACGAGACAAAAATTATCGTTAAAAATTAAAACAAAATGAATATTTGTATTGAAATAAAATTAGAACATATATGGTTCATTGATTGGAGTATTGATTTTATCATTTGCAAACAAATATATTCATTAGATAGTGAGAATATTTTTTACAATCTATATTTGAATTAGTTGTATTTCAATTAATCTTCAGATAATTTATTTGTATGAAAAAAAAAAAAAAAAAAAATAATAGAAATATTGAACCGAAACATCCCATCTGATTTATCTCAATATTTTTACCAATGCGTAGCACTTGGGGTCGTGATGTCATTTTCTTATTTTTATATATGATTTCGCTCATTCATCCGATCGATCGAGAACACACACCACTGTCTTGTTCATATAATTGATAATAATTACGTGCTCCTTAAAATCTCGTTGCTACCACTATGAATTTACTTTCAATCACGATATTCTAGTCGATCGATTCTGTTTACTTCTTGTAATCACATTATCTCTTCATTCTTTTTTTCATCAATTTTATTTTTTATTTTTTCGCTCATTAAGAACTGCCAATTATTTGAACAATTTTCTATCCGTTAGATCTAAGTCGCGTGATAAAGCAAGCCGAGTATTTCAATATATACGAATAGATTCGAATGCTTAAATAGTTACAGCTCTAATCGTAGTGTCAGCATAAATTTTATCCATATCCGTGATCAATGGTTTACATTAGTTTTTATAAACATCCATCTAAAAACTTTATTAATTATTTTTGCAACTTACGTATCACATTTCTTTGCGTATACTATGGTAAAGAAAGATAATACGTAAACTATTATATATGTCTTTGATTTTAGCTTACCGTTGTATTAGTAAAAAGAAAATACCTTAAAAGGAAGAATTTTTTTTCTTTTTTTTTTTGTTTATTTTTCTCTTTTATGTTTATTATTATTTCAAACAGAAAAAAAAGTGTGCGGAATGTGAGGGAGAAATTGCGAAAAAAGTGAAAAGTCACTAACTACGCGTCAGATCGACTGCTGCAAAGATAGTAGATTTAACGACTTTATATATATATATATATTTCTTTGATTATTTAAGGTGTATTTACTGAAAAAAGTTGAAATGGAAGGATAAGATCAAGAGTTACAGCAGGACTTGATCTGTCCATACCCATGCCCGATGGACGGCTCCTATAGCTAAAAATTGTACAACATGTCGTTTACGCCTGCCTCTTGACAACATACATTGCTATCAACATTTCTTCACTTCTTCAACAAGTTGTATTATAAAAATTTCGATGCAATCAATATATATATATATATATATATATATATATATATATATTGTATTGTAGATAATGGATTCGAGCAATTGCTGACAATTTTACCGTATGCCCACTAGTTAATTTATGATATTATTAAAATATTCCAATTGCAAGCTTGGAAACTTAGAAATTATATTTAATAACAGTGTCATTATTAGTTCGAGAAAATTAATTTCTAAAGAGAAGCGTGTAGATTGTTTTAGAAAAATGTCAACATTTACGTATGATCGGCCTTGTAGTGTCGATTATTTTTTTTCTAAACGATTAATATTTGTTAAATTGATATTATTTAATAATTTCTTTAATGGTTAATAAACCTCTTAAATTTGACGATATGGCAGAGTAACAATTTGTTTCTCAACTATCCGTCTCGTTCGCAAGTACGATTTATATGCGATAGTTAAACCTTCAACTTACAGCGCTTAAGGTTATTTTATTAACCGTCAAAATTTCTCATCACAATCATTCATACAGACTCTTTGAAAATTCACAGCTTGAATAACTATTGGACGAGAACTAAGAGTGCACATATTAAAGTTTAAAATAACTATACAATCTCGGCAATAATGATTATTCAATTTTCGAATTCCACACTTGACAAAATTCAATAAATAATATATCTAATTGACAAATCTATAACGATTTCTATCAATTTACCTCTCAGTAATTGAATTATTTAAATAAAGCAATAAATAATTATCTTTCCAGACGTAACAGGCCAAATTAATATCAAATTTTCAATTGTAAGCTTAATTACTGTTAAGCTTAAATTTTTAGTAAAAAAAAAAAAAAAAAAAAAAAAAAAAAAAAAAAAAAAAAAAAGAAAAGAAAAAAAGATAAAGAATTTTAAGGTATTGTCAATAATTATTGAATTATTAGGCAAACGAGCGACAAAATGGTTATTGTCCGTATCGTTTAAAGCTCTCTTCGTCTTCATCGGTGCTATTGTAATTTGAAAGAACAAAAAATCACGATCAATTGCAAATTTCTTGCGTATTTAAATCGTCGTGAAAGGCTTTGTTTACTCGACGTATTTCAAAATTGAAATCATTGAGCGTGAAAGAGAAGAAAAACAGCTCGCACCAGCTGTTGTTCATACAACTATTTCTCTAATATTTACGAATTTTATAAATTTCGTCAAATGATAAACCGACGCGGCTAATTTTAAATCGAGAAGATCGGCATTCGACTGCACATTCTCTCGATTTCAGAGGTTAATTGACTGACATCTTCCTTGCATTTGCTTATGTGAACTAATTCAAGACGATAGTCGACAGTTTATGTGGTTAAGAGGGCGACTGAATAATAATTTTTTTTACATAAATGACAAGCCAGTAATTATTAACGCTTGAATGCTGATAATGAGCTTTTATTTAGTATGATCTAATAGAAAAATTATCTTCCGTTTCTGTTCGATATGTGTTCGATGTATGTATAACAATTGAAATCTAAGTGAACGATCTCTCGAACGTGTATTTTTTCGAAAAAATCGATTAAAAGCCGAGGATTCCAGGACGATATGTGTAAGAATTACTGTAATTCAGTCGACGTTTTAAAATCCCTTCACCTAACCACTACCACTTCAATCCATCATCCTTGCCTTTTAAAAACGCTATCCTTAAGTGAGCAGCGCCTATCCTAGTGTATAAATGTCAGTCGCCCTACACCTTGATAAATCTAAAGTCTCTCCCTCGTTTAATCCACCAATCGGCGACAAAGCATTATTTTCGCACGTAATCAACATTATCGCCAACCTTTCGTCCAAATTAAACGCATTAAATTGTAGATCTCACCAAAAAAAAAAAAGAAGGAAATAAAGAAAAGAAAGGAAAAGAAAACAACAATAACAACAATAACAACAAAAACAACAACAACCACAACAACCACAACAACATCATCAGCAGCAGCAGCAGCAACAACAACAACAACAACAACAACAATAACAAATAATAATAATAATAATAATAATAATAATAATAATAATAATAATAATAATAATAATAATAATAATGATGAAACAAAGAGCTCGCTCTTTTATCCTTTTTTCTTCTTCTTCTTTTTCTTCTTCATCTTCTTCTTCTTTTGCTTCTTCTTCTTCTGTTTTTCTTCTGTTTTTCTTCCTTTTTTGTTGTTTTTCTTTTTTACGTACTCGTGCGCATCAAATAATACAAGATGCGTAATAACGTTCGTTTTTAGGTTTTAGGTTAGATCTAGATCTTCGTCGTCATCGTCGTCGGGTCCACCAGTCGGACAGCATAAACCCTCGGATCCGTCGGTACGAATACAGAAAAGCAAAGTCTCCGCGACAGTGACCTCGTGTGGCATTATGCCATGGAATTCCTTAAGGTCGGCTGCTGGGAACCAAGCTTTTTCGTTGTCGTCGATTATTAAAATGTTGAAATATCTGTTGAGAAGCAAACGTTTTCAGTTATTTCGTCGTTATTGCGAAGGATGATGAGAAAATTCGTTTTCTTTTCTTCATTTTTTTTCTTTCTTTCTTTCTTTCGTTACCTGATATCTCTTCGATTAAATGTATAATATAGTATACAGTTTAGCATAATCAAATTACAAAAAAAAAAAAAAAAAAAAAAAAAAAAAAAACAAACAATGAATTTATATTAAATTTCTTAATGGATAAATAATTCATAGAGGACAATTACAATTCATACAAAGACAGCATTCTTTCATTATAAACTACATAAATCTTAACTTAAAAATCTTAACGATCCGTTGCTGGAATCTGCATAACAACAATTATCGATACTTCGGTATGGATTCATCACGTCATTATTTCGCATAATTTCGATATTTATTTTCACTCAAAATTTCTTATTTGACCTCACCTCATACGCCTCACTCTTCGCAATCACATCTTTTAAACAATAAGTGCCTGAATAATACTTACAAAATTCAAAGTGAACGCAATACGTGCATTTAATATCGGCGTATCTTTTTCGTTAAAAGCTACGACACAAAAGAGGTGCATTTGAAAAAACGTACCTGCAGATGGCCACAACAGGAATCCAGAGAATCGAAGCGAGTATGAGCATGAAGATGAGGACGAGGGCCCAGACCGGCCATTCTTGGCGCTCGGTAACGCCCTTACTTGCCACCCACGCTTGATATCCGCTGCCCTCGACGACAATCTCGACGAACGATGCCACGAGGATACTCAGCATTGCCAGAGGACTCAAGTATTTCCAACAGATGAGCCAATAGAGGCCGGGACGGTTTCCCGTCATTAGCTCGATGTCATCGGCGAACCTAATGCACCATTAGCTTTAATGGTGGGCTGACTATCGATTTAAATCGTAACATCAACTTCGACGTGCGCAAAGACGTGATAAAAACTAATGTAATTGTTGATTAATGATGATATTGATAATGTGGGCAAGTGTTGGTTGTTACGGCTTTTTCATATTACGACGCGCGTCCATTAACATTATTTGCGATAATTGCTCGAGCGAAAAATCATTTAGTAAGCCGTTTTAACCTCTAAGCCAATTAAGACATATATATATTTTTACGTTTAAATTATATTATGTATTTGACAATTTGTCGTAATAAATGTGTAAATTCATTGGTCGTAAATCTTAAATCCTTGCTTCTTCCCTTTGTTCTTCCCTTAATTATATTTGTACGTACTATGACCAACTATGTGCCGAATTTTCAAAAACTTGTAATATGTCATTAATTATAACGCCTACACTGACTTTGTTTTTCTTTTTTTCTTTTTTTTCTTCATTAGTGTTTCACAAGATAATAACGATAATAATCATATCCTTTATTGTAAATTTTGATAATCGATTGCCCTTTAAGCAACGTGAAACATTTATTTGGTATTTCCAAAAGATTTCAACGATCCTCACAAGTAATGCTTTCACCGCATCAATATTTTTAATTATTTGTCGATAACTTAATGCTCGGCTATTGTAAGTTTTTCCACTAACGACTATAAATTACTTTTAAAGATTTTGAATAATATGTGGATTTACGGCCTTGCACCAGGCCCCATGAAATAACAACGAACCACCGATGTTCCAAGTAAATAGGGACTTGATTTTATAAATTATCGTCAAATTTGCATTCTAATAATCCTCGCCATAACATTGAACAATAAAAAATAAGCGTAACCTGTATAAAAATAAGCATAAATGGCAATCTTACAAAAAAAAGAAAAAAAAAAAAAAAAGACACACACACACACGAACCTTTCCCATTTTATCGTTCCAATTACCTTTTTATACCATAGACATAAGAGACGCCGATGCATTCAAAAAATGCAATGATGAGTAACGGAAAGTTACCGCTAAAGTTATCGAACAAAACGAAAACATAACTTCCTGCACCATGAGCAAATGCCATTGAGATAGTGCAACAGACTAGACAAATGCCACCTAAAATAGAACAAATTTATTTTAATACATTGATTACAATTTGACTTGGAATTGATAAGGATTTTACTATTGGATCTTTTATGGAGGAATAAATATTATTCATATTATTTGACTTTAAGGGAAAGCTTTCTTTTTTTCTTTTTTTTTTTTTTTATGTTTTTTTTCCTTTTATTTTCTTCTTTTACTTCTTTTTTTTTTTAATTAGTTGACAGTGAATCATTAAATAATAATCAGTTCGCTGATTGTCACATGTCTACAACGATATATCGAATGGTATTTAGTAAATTAGTAGTGAAATGGATTTTCGAATCAAGTCGATTTGTATCATAAAGATAAGAGATCTAATTTTTATTTTCTATGTTAAATAATTGTTTGCTCTTATTTAAAAATAATATATGATTACGGACATGTATATTAAGAAATTATTATTTGTTTGATATTGATAAAATAACCTATTGTTATATGAGTGCTAACAACATAGTAACCTAATGAATCGATTATTTAGAAGGAAAAGTTGAATGATAAGATTATAAAAAATGATAACAAAATTTAATATTTATATCGAATGAATTTATTATTTTTACAAAAATCAGAAAATTGTTAATGTATACGTATACGTATACTTTGATAATTTAGGATGAATTAAATTAAATGTGCATTATGAATTAAAATACCTCATTAATAATTAATTAATGTACTTCATTTTTAATTGCAAGCATTTATTAATATAGGAAAGGAATAGTTTTTTTTTTTTTTTTTTTTTTTTTTTTTAGTGACTTTAATATATACACAATTTGTTCCCTTAAAATCTCAATTGAAATGGAAGTCGCAAATAATTTGCTCAAATTTAGAAAGTGAAATATTTTTAAATCTTATATTATAGCAAAGCTTTGTTAACTATGTATTTTAAATTCAATGATAATGCTTTACAAATTTTTCTCTCTATACTAAACCGAATGAACAATACGTAAAGCAATTGGTAAGTGAGGAAAAAAAAATAATAAAATAAAATAAAATAAAATTGCAAAACATTGATTTTAAATAGGAGAATCGGTACGTTCAATTTACAGGTCTTCGGAGTGAAGAAGAATAATCTAATAATGACAAAGTAATGTTGAGTAGCCGAATTGAAGTAGTGAAATGCATGCATTATTGATATATATATATATATATATATATATAAAACAAAAAAGAAGTAAAAGAAGAAAAAAAAACAGAAAAAAAACTTGTAATCTCGATGAGAGAGCGTAGAGTTCGCAATTTTCGCATCTTCCATTTCAAATTCGTGACTTTTAACGGAGCGAATGTGGCGCTTGGAATTAAAAGCTCGTTTAATCGATTTTCTCCAAATGGTATTTGAATAGGAAACTTACCGGTAAGTATCTCCTTACGGAGGTTCGGAAAGAGCTTCATGTCAACGATGCTCGTGACGACGCCCTCTAGAGTACCAAATTGCGAGTCAATTCCCAGCGTGAAGAGCATGAGAAAGAAGAGTACCGACCAAAATTGAGCGCCTGGAAATTGGTTGATCGCCTCTGTGAAGATTATAAAGGCCAATCCGGTACCCGACGCCGACTACAAAGTTTCTTATTAGTTCCAACACTATTGCGTCTCTCTCTCTCTCTCTCCCTCTCTCTCTTGTATTATTGCTAAAGAGTTGCAATTGCTTTAACATTAAATTATATAACATTGATTAATCGAAGAATTCAATAATGTAGGGCAACAACGAGTCTCTTAATACATCACTTTATTAAGTACTCGTATTAATCATTGGGTTATCATAAGAATTGTATTAATATTTATCCAAGTTTCTTCTATCTCAGCACTTGATAAATTCTCTTCTTCGTTTCTATTTTCTCCCAATTATTCACCCACTCTCGCAATAAATTAACATCCTTACAATTCCATACACTAGCAGTCAATTTATATAGAATATATATATATATATATATATATATATAAAAACTTTATAAAAAGCAAAATAGAATTTGAACAATTTAAACATTGACGGAGTGCATAGTTGTTTTATAATTCTCAAAAGAAAATCAACTGGCGCTCATTGTAACGAGCTTAAGTTTAAAAAGATATAATTCAATTGATGTTGCATTTATAGCTTCGCTGAATGGACATTGAACTTACAATAAGACTGTGCACTGTCATCGGCCACATGCTTCTTTAACGGCCCGTCTCAAAAAAATTTTCATGGTAATTGAAACTTGTCAATCTAGCGCTCTTATTCGTTTATTTATACGTTGGTTAATTCGAATTAAAAAGCTAAGAAAAGTCGATAATCACATTATGCCTCATTGGTTCTTGTATTCCCATTAAGATTACGAGACTTCAAAACTATCTAATGTAACACAAAAATCGCGACGATAGTGTGACCAACGCATTTATACGAAAAGCTTAAAATTCAAAAATAACCGTTCGATTTTAAGACAATTGCTTAACCTCGTATTTCATGCCCGAATTTTTATTTTATATAATAAAACCTAATTAATCAAAGTTATTATGTAAGCATAGTATTTGACATTACATTACGAGTTGTTGATGTGTATCGTCACGATAAGATATCTTAAAAATTCAATTTTAATGTACACAATACTTTTTTAAAATTCTTATCAGATTTTTACTATCGAGTATGTATTATAATAGATTTTTATCTACAAGTGACTCAAGATACGCTACTTAATTCTCAAACATCAATATTTCGTTGACTTAAAGTTTGTTATTAAGCAATTACAACTTCATTGGCAGTCAATTGTGAAATTTTGCAAAAAATATAATTTACAATTGTTAGCAATTAAACATTTATATAATAGCTCGATAAGTAGTGGAAATAGATAATTATGCTTATGTAAATAAGCATTATTAGAAAAATCCATTTGTATACAAATTATGCGGACGTTAAAACATTTTATTCAATAATACAAAATTACAATTCTTAAATCAATTAGTTTCAATCTGACTACGTAAATATTCATATTATTTATAAGATTATTAATAATCTTTACTTAGGCTCTGATGTAAAAATCATCGATTTGTTTGCTTAATATTATTAATTTTCTTCTTTAATAAAATCAAGATACTTTCGGAAATCTTAAACTGCAATAAATATTTTTTATTTAATTGATCATAATTCTATCCATTTAAATATAAATTAATTTCATTGCTCAATCAATTACAATTAATCAATCGATTCAATTCAGATTATTAAATTAACTCGCAGTCATCAAATATTCGTTAGATATATGAGAATTATTTCATTTGTCCTATTAAATGATTTATTTAGAAAATTTAAGTGTGTCTTATTTAAGTTACTTATATATATATATATATATATATATATATATATTTATATTTAATTAACTATATAGAATCGTAAATGACATGGTATCGATAGTAAGTAATGCGAATCCGTATTATGGCTAATTACTATTAATTTTCATATAACATTGCAAAATTTTTCAGTAAAGAGTTATTTCACGCACTTCTATACATGTAAAATTAATTTTTACTCAACTAATGTACAAAGTATAATGTAGTAATACTCAAAAGTAACATGTAATTTATTAATAATTATCAATTAATTTTCATTTTATTTTCACTAAACAGGCTGTAAATTGTTATTAGCTTAAAATTTCGATAAATAAACTTAATTAGACGCTACAAATGTAAGATTTTTTAAATTTTTTCTTACATAAATATGTTATACTCTATTATATTCTATAAAAGCCAAATCCATCAAATCTCATGGAAATAGAAAAATCAATTTATTCTAAAAAAAAAAAATACGTAAATATTATTGTAATATTTTTAATCATTCCCGTAATGTGTGTGTGTGTATATATAATATATATATATATATATATATATATATATATACTTGCTATTCATTGATGAAAAAAAAAAAAAAATAATAAAAAAAAAAATGTAATCATTACAGATTTTACGTAAATTTTAATATAGAAAATAAAAATAAATAACTTGGTTTGATTTACAATCTACACAAAAAAAGGCGCCACCATTATACAGAAATTACAAGAGTAAAAGCAAACACCTCCCTCCATCCCTCTCTCACTCTCTCTCTCTCTCTCTTTCTCTCTCTCTCTCTCTCTCTCTCTCTCTCTCTCTCTCTCCCTCCCTACATTTCTTTTTTTCTCTATCTGGTTCTTCGTATTTCTTGAATAGGAAACATTCGTTTATCATCAGTGCATTATACACGACAGTGACTGGAAGTGCGTATTTACTTAGTATATTTGAGTGTTTTGTTGACATGTAATTGTATATTTATGTGAGGAGAGTCTAATTTTTGTTTCGCTAAAATTAAGACTTTTAAAATTTATTAAAACAAAAAAAAAATGGATAATATTGGGAGGAGTTACAGGCCAAATCCCATGCCAACGGTCAATTTTTTTAGTAAATTGTTTTATTGGTAAGTGTATAGGTTTTTATAGTTATTAGTAGAATATATTGCAAATTATGTTGGAAAATATAATTTGTGAATTAAATTAATAAATAAATAAAAGTAAACTAAAAAATTGCATAATGAAATTTGTTATACTCGTTGGCAATGAAACAATAATAATTGATAATTTAATTATCTGATTTAACAATGAGAATTAATTTAATAGATATTGTAAGTTGTAAATGCTGTTATTCAGAGAGCAAAGTAAAAAGTCGTGTTATCAATAAATATTCACATCTTCAAAACGTATACTCGAACGACGGACTTTTATTGATGCTTCTGTAATTAATTTATTAACTTATGGCAAACAAAACATCAAAGTTTGCCTTCATACAAAGAGACAGATAAATTTTTCTTGAAGTAATAATGATATATTATCAACAAATTTAGAGTGATAAAATAAAATTATCTTCTATAGAATAAGGAAAGCCAAACTCTTATAATATATAATTGCGTCAATAAATGTCAGAATCTAACAAATTTTTAATCATTATTAAATAACAAACGATCACTAGTAACGTTTATCTAATTTTCATTAACATGTATTATATACGATTTCATTCATTAAAAATAGCAATAATGAAAAACAAACAAAATAAAAAAAAAAAAAAAAAACCAAGATATAAAGTAAGAGTAATTGTATGATTGAAATCAAAGTCTTTTAGATTTATCATAAATCAAACTTGTACAGCAAATAAAATGAAAATTTATTTTTTATGATTCATCAATAAAATTGAATTATTGAGAATTACTAATAAAATTATTTATTTCAGTTGGCTCTTTCCAATATTTATGTATGGTGAAAATCACAATATAGAAATAAAGGATCTTTATGAAATTTTACCGGAAAATCGTAGTGATTTTGTCGCTGATAAACTAGAAAAGTATATGAAAAAACATTTAAACAAACCCTTGATAATATAAAAGACGAATGTATTTATAAATTATGTTTTACAATCTTATAGAGCTTGGAAAGTAGAATTTAATGAAGCTTGTAAGAAGAGAATAAAACCTAGTTTATTCAAGGCAATTCGAAAAGCTTTTCAGAAAAATATTTTTAAATATGCTATTCACTTTTTCGTATCATATCTTATATTTAAGTAAGTCAATTTTTCGATATAATAAAAGTAAAAATAATCGTAAAAAGACTCTTTAAGTTTATTTTGTAACAGTTTACCGAATTACGAGCTCATAATCGTATAATAAAATTAAAGTATATTATTTCGCAAACAACATTTGTAATATCATTATTATTAATAAACTTTGTGAGAAATTTATTTATATTCTAATTTAATTTTACGGCATATAATATCGCGATCTCATAAGTACGTAATGGTTTATCGGTGTAAAGCTATTATGCAAATATAAATAAATATTTAGGCAGAAGATAAAATATACCGTACGGATTAAAATAAATCAAAGTATTAAATATATATTATTTTATAAACAATAATAAATTTCGCAAAGTCGCTCTTTCACTTTCCCCCTGTATGAGTTGCAAACAAAATGTCCTTTAAATATATATATATATATATTGAGAGAGATTTTATCATCATCCACAAGATTAATCAACCTAACGTTGCCAAATATAAAACAGAAATATTTATTTTAAACTTAATTATTAGAATAATGCAACCACAGGTAATGAGCTATTTAATTTGGCATTTCGATGAGCGATCGACATCAAGTACAATGGAGGCTTATGGTTACGCTACGACTTTTCTTTTTATAACCATTTTCGACCAAATTTTATTCAGTCATCTGATTTTTGGATTACGAACCGTCGGTATAAATGTCAGAGTTGCTTGTGCTTCTCTCATTTACAAAAAGGTAACAATGACATGATTAATCTTATTGAATCTTCTCCTGTTCTGTGCTCACTACTAATCTGCAAACAACGTCTTCTATAATATTTGAAATTGCTATCTTTAGCAATTGTTTAATAAATTTTCTACTATTTTTATTCATTTATATCGTCATAATATTTTGTCCAAATAAGCTTGTGAATTAATTGATTATTTATAATGACCGATGAATTTATGATAATAAATTTTACAAGCTTTATTAGCTTTAAAAAAAGAACTTAGAATTTTAATTAATGAAAGATCAATAACAGATTCTAAAACTGCCTCACTCTTCTAAATTCATCAATGAAGGGAGAATAATCACTTTGCTATCGAATGACGTTGACAAACTGGAAATTTCCTTTATATTTATACACGCTTTATGGATTATGCCAATGCAAACAATTTTAATTACCTACATAATTTGGCAAATCGTTGGCATTGCATCAATAGCTGGTGTCCTTAGTTTAATACTACAAACAATTCCAATTCAAGGTAAATATAAATTGTAATTTTGTATTTTAAACGCTTAATGTCCAATAATTAAGAGGCTCGATTTCAGTATTTAGTGGAAGAATGATTGCTCTCTTCCGTAGAAAAATTTCCATGAAAACAGATGGAAGATTACAACTGACGCGTGAAATTATCCAAGGAATTCGCGTGATAAAAATGTATACATGGGAGAAACCGTTCGAGCAATTAATGTTTTTCGCCAGAAGGTTTCTATCAAAATTTATTAAGAAAGAATAGTTGTTATATATATATACATATGAATTTTGTATTAAAAAAAAAAAAAAATGCATATTTAAATTTTTATTATTATATTTTTATATTTTTTATAAGCCAACGGCAAAAGCTTAGGCGTTTTAAATGTGATACATTTTACGTTTTTACAAAATACAGGCACGAAATTGGCATAATATCAAGAGCTGCTTATTTAAAAAGCATACTTTGGGCTTTAACAGCATTTGCTCAACGTACACCATTCTTAATCACAGTTATGATTTATGTACTTCAAGGTAACAGTATATCAGCTCACACGATCTTCACTTTGGTCCAATATTTCAATATTTTGCATCTGATGGGCTTTTGTTTTTTACGAGCTGTTAATTTGTTGTCCGAGGCAATTGCCTCGATCAGGCGAATTCAGGTAAGGAATATCACTGACTTGGCACGTCATAAACTTCCATTTAATCATAAATTGCTATATACTGCTAATTAATTATTGTCGTACAGCTATGAGAAATTAATAGCTTAAAAAAGTACAAGATATATTATTTATACACTAAAAAAATTCTTCTCGCGCAGGAATTCTTACTTCTGGAGGAGCAAATGTCTAATACCAATATTTTGAAATCTAATAACGAAGAGACGATAATATCATTAATAGGAGTAACAGTATCATCTACAGAGAGATCGGAGCATAATTTTTTAAACAATATCAATATTAATATAAAGCGAAACTTATTATATGCTATTGTAGGTCCAGTTGCTGCAGGAAAGGTAATTAGCAAATATTAGCTAAACGGAGATTTTAGTTTTGTTTGTTTTTTTTTTGTTTTCTTTTTTTGTTTTTTTTTTGTTTTTTTTTTTGTTTTTTTTTTTTGTTTTTATTTTTGTTTTTGTTATTATAATAAAACAATTGTTAGTTTATAAGCATTATGTATGTTAGAATTTTGATAAAACAGCTTATATGTCTCTAGCAAGAAAACAAAACAATAATCGAACCTTAAGTATATCGTTCCTTTTCAGACTTCTCTTTTAAAATTAATTTTGAAGGAATATATCCCACTCAAAGGTCAAATCCTTCTTAATGGCAACATATCGTATGCTAGTCAAGATCCCTGGCTTTTTCGAGGCACAATAAGAAGTAATATTATTTTTGGTAGAGCCTACGACGTAAAAAGGTACAAACAAGTCATCAAAGCGTGTGCTTTGTCCGAGGACTTTCAACACTTTCCCGATGGCGATAAAACTCTGATTGGAGAAAGCGGTATTACTTTAAGCGGAGGTCAGTGTGCAAGAGTTAATTTGGCCAGGTAAACTATCCAATTATTTAACACAGAGGTTATTAATGATGATTAATTATGTAAATTACCTCTCGCAGTAATCCTATTTCTTATTTGTCATAAGTATGTCTTATCTATTAAGATCTGCAGAAAAAAAATCTATAAAGAATATATATATATATATATATATATATATATATATGTAATGTAAAAATTAACTTTAGCAAGAATTAATTATTATAAATTAACTTAAATAAATTATTTTTAGCTCTTTGGGCAGTAAAACAATCGTGAAACCATTATGAATTATACGTAAAAATTTATTTATTTCAATAGATCGTATTTTTAAAATTTTTTAATAAATATTATTTTTTCAAAATTATAAGCAATTCTTTTATGATAATTAAAATGAAAGGATTATCAAATATTTATATGTATTTTTTATTTTTTAAGAAATAAGATTATAATATCATAATAGTAGGCCAAATATATTCAAAAGTAATGGAATTTTTTTTTTTTGAATTATTTAGTGTAAATTTATAAATTGTATGTAAATTCTGTTTTCATAGAGCAGTTTACAGGAATGCTGATATTTATTTATTGGACGATCCTTTTTCCGCAGTCGATAGTCGAGTTAGTAAGCATTTGTTTAAAAATTGTATCAATGGTATTTTAAAAGATAAAACTCGCATTCTTGTAACACATCAACTGGAATATTTAAAAGAAGCCGATGAGATAATTTTTATCGCCGATGTGAGACTTTTCGAAAAACTTTAAAATAACAAAATTAATTGTACATTATATTTTCATAACGAATTTGGCTATTAACAGGGACAAATAAAATTTCAAGGTAACTTTACTAGCTTTCAAGAAGTCGACGAACTAGTTCAATATTTAAATGTCAACGATAACAAAGTAAGCGACTTTCCTGACAATAAGGAAAATTTCGATAAGTCCATTTTATCGTATGAATCACGTTACGATAATGATCTCACCGATAAAGATAAGGAGAAGGATGTGGAAGCGACGGAAAAGCTAATAGGTCCGGATAATATTATAGGAAAAGGAAAGAAAATAGATGAGTCGAAGGAGAGTAAATTAGAAGTAATACACGGGAATTCAGTGTATTGGAAGTATTTTGCAGCTGGTGGTTCGTGCATTGCTCCCCTCGCAACATTGCTTGCTTTTCTAATTGTTCAATTTTTGTCCAGCAGTTCGGATTACTTTATTGGATATTGGTAAAACATTTACAAGGATATAATTTTCACCAATAAGCTTCATCGATAAATTATTAACAAAAAAAAAAAAAAAAAAAAAAAAAAAAAAAAAATATGTTTCTTTAGGACTAGAATGCAAGATATTAATCGAAATTATTCGCACTTTGTACAATACGGTAATTCAAGTGTGTCTAAGCAACTTGACACTTACACGGCCATTTACATATTGTCCAGTTTAATGGTTGGAGCCTTTATTATATCTATAGTTAAGATGGCACTGTACACGACCGTTTGTAAAAATTCCAATGAAAACATTCACAACAAGATGGCATCTAGTCTTTTGAGAGCGACGATACATTTTTTTCAAACGAATAATTCCGGTACGTCGCTAGCTATTACGTTTTCAATATATAAATTATTATTATTATTTTTTTTTTTCATCTCAATGGCACTAATGCGAATACTCTTTTAGGAAGAATTTTAAATAGATTTTCCAAAGATTTAGGCATGGTTGATGAAAGATTACAAGCAATGTTGTTGGAAACTATCGATTTTTTCTTCATCGTACTAGGTGTCGTAATACAAATACTTATTATTAATTGGAAATTAATTATACTGGTAATTATCCTGGTGTACGTATTTTGGAAAGGTCGAGTAATTGCTATTAAAACAACTCGTAGTATTATGAAACTCGAAGCCCAAGGTAATATATATATATATATATATATACATTTTATCCAATATAATTATTATTAATGAGCAAAAGAGTAGTTTTTCTTTAATTACAAATCTCATGTAAATGCCTAATATTCTCTTGAAATTACCATTGTTATGTTTTCAAATGGTTTTTCATATTACGCAATATGGAGCAGTGGATAATAACGCTTTAATCGTTTATATAATGTAATTAAAACAATTTATGGGAATAGCCAATACTTCATTCGTGGCTAAATTTATTTTTAAAATATAATATTTTTTTTTTTTTTTTTTTTTTTTCCTTTGCCTTTGAATAATTTATGAATTATCTTAATTACTTGGATATGGTGTAATTTTGTTTATGCAGCATTAATATTCTCCTCGTCTTATTCCGCTTATTACATCCCTATATATTCCTTACAAAATAGATTAATCTATTGATTATTGTTTAGCCAAAAGTCCAGTATTTTCTCACGTTAATTCTTCCTTTGCGGGAGTACTAACTATTCGCTCTTGTCATGCTGAATCGATTATCTGTAAAGAATTTGATGATTACCAGGATAATCACACGGTCGCTGCTTCGATCTCTCAATATGTCCTCATAGCGTACAGTTTATGGCTCGATTTGATGACTTTGATATTTATGACACTTTTAACTTATAGTTTCATAGTATTTCGAGAAAATCAAACTAGTGGTGCTGACGTGGGACTTGCAATCACACAAGTGCTTGTTCTATGTAATATTTTATCGAGAGGAGTAAAATTAACCGCTGATATTGAAACGCAAATGGTTTCCGTTCATAGACTTTTCGAATATACTGAATTAGAAGAAGAATGTTCATCGAGTAATGAAATTGATTACAAATTGCCAAGAGCTTGGCCAAATCAAGGAAAGATCGAATTTGATAGTCTTTGCTTAAGATATTCCCCGAACGGTCCATTAATTTTGAAAAATCTAACGTTTAATATAGAAGGAGGTGCAAAGGTAATGTGAAATTAATATCTTGTAAAAGAGTACCTTTCATTTAATATATATTAAAAATAAAAATTATCACACTACTACTATCAGCTTATTCTTATATTACTTATAAAACAAGTGATAACATTATTTTTTAAGAATATCGCTGTTTTAACCGATCTTTCAAGTCGGGAGTGGGTGGGTGGTTAGGTGGGTGGGGGGAGGGGCGGGCGGGGGAATCAATACATTATTAATATATGATAATTAATTTTTAGATTGGTATAGTCGGACGAACAGGCGCAGGCAAATCATCTTTAACGATTGCGCTCTTTCGTTTGGCCGACATTGAAGGCTCAATATTAATCGATAATATAGACACGCGTAATGTCGATTTGAAGCTTTTACGTAACAAAATATCGATTCTCCCTCAAGAGCCTATTTTGTTTTCATTATCATTAAGAAAGAATCTTGATCCCACGGATGAATATGACGATGATTTGATTTGGTCGGCCATTCGCGATGTCGAATTAAATGAAATATTTGATTCCTTGGATTGCGTACTCCATAGAAATAATTTAAGTACCGGGCAACGTCAGCTTTTGTGCTTAGCTCGGGCCATATTGAAGAAAAATAAGATTTTAATTCTCGACGAGGCTACTGCAAATGTGGATATTAACACAGATGCTTTAATTCAGAAGATTATTCGAGCGAAATTTGCAAATTGTACAGTGATAACGATCGCCCATCGATTAAATACAGTTATGAAATGTGATAAAATTTTGGTAATGGATCACGGAAAAGTAGTCGAATACGATTCACCTGACGTGCTCTTAAAGACAAACGATGGTTATTTATCGAAAATGTTACAACACAGTGTTAAGGAGGATTTTACAACGATCTCAGATGTAAGTTTCAATTAATTTATTAAAAAATTCTTTTCATATATAAGTATGTTTAATCATTGTAAGCCACGATTATGCGCAACAATGTAATATTCTATTATAAATAAACTTCAAAATAGTTTAAAGAAAATTTCCGGACAAAAATAAAGAGTCTTAATATTTCAAACATACGTACACTAAAATTAATTATGATTAATTAATATCCTATTTTGAAAATTTATCGATAATTTATTTCAAAATAATATATATATATATATATATATATATATATATACGTATGTAATTTTATTTGATTAAAAATTTATAGTATAACCCGATAAATATTCTAATAACTTCAGCAAGTTTCAATGGCTTAATGTATAATTTAACGTTTAAAATTTATCGAATAGAAATTCTTCGACAAAAACACTTCGACAAAAATATTCGAATTATCAAATATTTCTATATAATTTAGCATAATTCACTTTTTTTTTTTTATGAGACTATTAGTATTTACAAGTATTTAAAATGTTATTATTATTTCAGATATCAAAGGACGAATAAATAAAATTTTTTTCGTAAATTAAAGTAGCAATGATTTGAATGAACAGTATTTTTTATAAAATACATTATTAAATTATATGCTAAATACTTATATATTATTTATATATTTTATATAGCATATAGAAACAATATAAGAGTGTATAAATCAGAAAATAATAATAAACAAATAAAGAAAATTTTTATAGAAATAAATAAATTCTTAAATTTTTATTCTAAATTAAATCCTTCAAATGTTTTATTGAAGAATATAATATAAACAAGAAAGTACTACCAGTAAGAATATGTGAATTACCACAACAAAAGATAAAAATCATGTCAATAACTAAAACAAAAGTAATTACTATTATCTATGACCTCATAAATTTTACAATATATGCAATATTTAGCTGATCCGATGTCTGAATTAGTTACAAATCATATTTATCAGGATCTTTTATCCCTAAAATGCAACTACTCAAGTCTTCTCACTCTGCTATAAAATTTAAATCCAAAGTAAAATTTGATTGCCTTACTACTCTACTATTGATATTACCTGGGCAAAGTGTGCATCTTTATTAATTAAACGCACCAATAATCATGTCGAAATATTGTTACTTTGGCGTACATAATTTAAGCCGTACTCACATTATCAAGCTCCTTCTGCAAATCGCATTCGGGAAGTTCGGGCATAAATAGATTTTCGAGGCTCATGTTTGCATTAGTGAAATTGAGTAGCGAACCGCTGATTGGTAGATTATGCGGGATCTTTCCGGGGCTACCAAAAATATTAATTAACGTTGCATTTCTCTCGGCGAGGCAATGCTCGTACACCATCGTGGCCTTGAAACCTTTTATAGAAAAAATTATCGACATTACATTCTATCAATATTCATTTAATTACTTTCAAGAAGCAGAAACATTAATCTCAACGATTCAAGTTGCTATAGTAAACGTGATTTTGCAATTTTACCTTATCTTCTTGTGCTTTCGCACGGCAATTGGTAAGTTTACGTCGAACGCTTATATTATGTATTATTGATATCGATAAGAGGATGGAGATTTCTGAAAGAAAAGCGCGTTCACTGATATTCGTATACGAAAAGGAAATTAGCATGGGTTTGTGCCGAGACAAGTAAATTGATTAGAATAAAAATTATACAAACGCTCGCCTCTCACCTTCGAGCTCCTCCCTCCTTCAATAAAGAATGCAAAATTAAAATCGCGAGTTGATATATCTCTGCGTTACCACTAGCCCGATGTTACAGATGAAAAAATTGTCGCGCTTTAAACCGGATAAATAAACATTTATTATCAAAACAACGAGAGGAGAGATGAAGGTAAATGTCCTACCGATAATGGAGAAAACGACAATGCCCGCGAACATTGAAGTGAAGCAGTTCGTGAGGCTGACCATGATAGCGTCGCGATAGCAATTGTTGTTAACGGGGTTGTAAGATGAGAAGGCGATCAGGCCACCGAATGCCAATCCGAGGGAGAAAAATATTTGCGTGCCGGCCTCCAACCAAACCACCGGATCCGTCAGTGTGTACCACTTGAAATATCAAAAAAAAAAAAAAAAAAAAAAAAAAAAAAAAAAAATAAATAAATAAATAAATAAATAAATAAATATGTATATATGTATTATATATAGAGAGTGGATGCATCGTAGTTTGGTAAATACGTGCAGCAAATAAATTGCTGATCATTACCTTTGGTGTAAAAAGGTGGCGCAGGCCGTCAGACATTCCGGGCAACGTTACGCCCCGGAAGAAAAAGATCCGAGGTAGGGAAATGTGGCTGTGACGTATACGACCTGTTGATAACAAATATTTTACAATGTTACATTTCGCGCTTGGTTGAATGGTAAGTTTAGGCTCGAAAAATATATTTTACAGCTAAGTCAGCTTGAATCAGACTCAATAACACGATAGGAGAATAAATAATAAATATTTAAGAAAATAATACAACTAATATTCCGCGTGTATAATAAGGGAAATTGAATTGAAAATTCGTAAATACATTTTCATGTTTTATTTGACAATGTTTGTTAAATATAAAGTTAACACAAATAGCAAATTTGCCATATACATAATTGTGTATTAATTTTCTTTTCAATAAATATTTAATCGGAGCGAAAGATGATGAGTAAAATTTTTTTGTATTTTTACCAAAGTTTGTTTCATAAAGGATCTATTATAATTTATTCGTAAAATGCAATATTATTTAAAAAATAAATAATTTATTCGTAAATATCGATATGTTCTTCTATAAAGTGATTTTCTAAAATTCTATCAGGATCCGACTGTTATATTTATCTTTATATCTTATCGATTTTAACCACGCAATTAGAAAAATAAGATTGGAATTTAGTAATTCAGAGGGACATTAGTGCAGATTCATTTAATTCGAGATTTTAAATAAATATTTATGGAACGATAAACTTTTAAACAAAGTCGAATATGAAAACAGATACAACCTACAATCGATCAATTAACAATTTAAAATACAAATCTATTTCATCGATAAAAAGAAAAATTCAATAACAATATTCGAACAGAATAATGCAAGAAAAATATTTTTTATTTTAACGAAAGTTTATGTAAATATATATATATATATATATATATATGTATGTGTGTGCGCGCGTGTGTGTATAATTGAATTTTATGCAGGTATAAATATAATATAATAAAATACAAACGCAGAGGTAAATTAGAATTCAAAGTCATATCTTAAGTAAAGGTATTAGTCAAAATTCTGATAGATTTTTAGAATTGTAAAGTTGCTGATACTTTTAGTAAGTCTCAAATAATTCAAGGTACTCGAGAGAGTAAGAATATTTTCAGAATTGGGACACAAATATTTATCTATTTAGAAGATATCTCATTATCTATTATTTAATACCTTATCTATTATAATGTAGATATAACTGCACAAATGACAAATTATTAATTATGATATTTACTAATAAAATTTATAATCAAGTTAAAACACACAAAAGTATTGAATGTATACGTATACACACACACACACCCACACACACACACACACACACGCACGCACGCACACACACACACACACGCACGCACGCACACGCACACACATATATATAAAAGAGAAAATGGCAGAGCTTTTACATTTATAAGGGTAACAATAATCATTTTTTGCTAAAAATAATATTTTTTGTTCCTTTTGATGGGATCGTCGTAATAGGAAAACTATCCCGATAAGATTTAATCGTTTGGTGAAACTGAAAATGGGGAAAAGTGATTCTCTCTCATTGTTCTCGAGCTGTTAAAACGTAAAAATAGCTAAAACTTTTAAAGTAAATAATTCCCATTCAAGTGGCACTTTTTTTTTTTTTTTTGTTTTTAACTCAGCCATTGAATAATTTATTTTCCAAAAAGTTCTCCCACAAGTATCCTTACAATTGCCAATAATTGTTACCAAACTAGCAAGATAAACATCACCAATGATATAACCGAAGTTAGTGAGAAAAAATTTACCTTCCCAGATGAGGCGATTCCTTTAATCATGCACATGTAGACGAGGATCCACGCGACGACCAGCGCCAGCGCGATTTTCCAATTGAAGACATCCGGTGTGTTTATATCCTTGGAAACCATTAAAGTTGTCCGATACCAGAAATATTGCGTTGGACTACTTTGCTGCAAGATCCAGACAATTGAACATCCTTGTCCACGATTTTACACGAGCATATTGTATTTTGATAAGAACTTAATTATATCGATGCCATAGTACTCCGTAATGTTAATAAACATATATTAATGCAACAATGAGAAAAGTTACTTTTCAAAACAATAAACTGAAAGTGCCGTAGCATTTAATATCAATGTATTGAAATAATTTGTGAACAAGGTGATGAACAAAAAAAAAAAGTTATTTTTATAGTATTAATGTTCATCATTACCTTATAAATAAAATAATTTTTTTCCTTTAGCAATTTAGATTTATGATAAAATGACAAGATAACAACGTAAATAATATACGAATGCTCGAAAGAAGAAAAACTCTGAAAAACAGAAATCTATAATGAAACGAGAAACTTTTAATTTAAAAAATAAGTTTTCTTATTCCATAAAGATGTTTCTGAATTTTCTCTTAATTATTAAAATTACGGTCAGCAGTGATATTAGCATTAGTATTTTATAACTAATGACTCAAAGTATTGAGAAATAATAATAAATATTAATTTCATAAATACTTTTTTAATCATAAAAGTTATCAAGACAATTAAGCTCGATAAAATAATTTAAAAATAACGCAATTCAATATTACCAAACATTCTGCCTCGGGCGTGTAAGAATTATTTTGAAAATATTTATTAGGACAGTGTGCCCATGGTAGCTCGGACTGAAAACTCTAAACATTGAAAAATAAATGTCAATGTAAGGCCTGTCGTGCTGAAGATACATTATATAAAAGAGATATTTGATAATGAATGACGATCGATCGATGGATTTGCAATTATATCTCTATTATTATTATTATTATTATTATTATTATTATTATTATATCCTAAAGCTGCCAAATGACATTTACCTGAACAAAATAGAATAGGCACCAGGCGATAATGGTATTATAGTAGAGAGCCACGTTAAATGATACAACAGCGCTGCTTACACCAATCCCAGCCATGTACGGAGAGACCTTGAAAAGAAAAGAAAACAATAAGGAACGAGATATTTTTTGGGAGAGAGAGAGAGAGAGAGAGAGAGAGAAAAGTAGAAAAACTCTTTCTTTATTTCACGATTATCAATCAATTCGTTTTTTTTTCTTCGTAAAGTTGTTTCATTGCTTTGTAATCGAGAAGATTGTAATAATAACGAGACCTTTTACATATTCAACTTACACTTGCAACATCTATTTTATATATTTCCTTTATTATATTTTTGTAATTACCGACCGTTTTGTAATTTGACAATAAGCGATAGAAATTAAACTTAATTAATTATGTAAAGATGGCTTTCGTATGAATTAGGAATTCGTTTTAAATGTATCGATTCTATGATTCGTTAGACTTTCAAGTGAAACTTCATTGCTGAAAATTATATCGAGACTTTATGAAGTTTTCATTAGAATGTCTTACGAAAAGCAGATCTAAAGTTATACAATTTTTTTAATAAGACGAAGAATATTAAAGATCGGCGCAGCAAGTGCATTTACATACATGAAATCATTACTTCTTACGGACTTTCTTACCTTTTCTGAAAAATTCTCTACCTATGAATTCTATATCTAATAACAATAATAATAATAATAATAATAATAATAATAATTATATATATTATTATAAATTTCAATGAACCAGATTTAGATATTTTTTGCTTTCTTTAATAATAATGCCAGTTTGCATTTGTATTTTTTTCGTTTATTATTTTTTTTTAAAAATTATTATTATTATTATTTATATTCATAAATAGTTTCGAGCGAAAATTTTCATTCTTATTTTACATATTATTAATGGAAAAAGTGACCTGATTCCAAACGCCAATTGCACCTTTGCGTAACCTCTGCCCAATAGCGAGTTCGAGATAAAATATAGGAATTCCTTCGATCGCAAGCATCACGAAATATGGTATCAGAAAAGCACCTGAAATCATAAGTAACATATTATCATTATGTATGCATATACGCATATACACATACATATATACATATATACATATATACATATATACATATATATATATATATATATATATATATATATATAAAATATGCAAATAACCTATAAATAAATTGCGCGTAATGTTTGAATATAAAGTATGATTTTATTGATTTTTACGCGGTTCCGTAAACTCATACATATTTATAAAATTTTAGAATACAATGGAATTTAGAACAATATAGAGCAAACTAATATAACAATGTGAAATATAACTTTCTACTATTTGTTGAAAAATATTTCTTTTGAATAAAGCTAGCTTTCGTCTGATTTAAAGTATACTTTAAAGTATAAGAATATATTAAAAAATTAGATTAAATTTTCAAATTACTTATAACTCACAATAATTATCGAGTTTCATTAGAATCATAATTTTAAACGTAATTCAGGCTATAATACTTTTCATTTCAATTTGTGTTTCTTCATTGTTGAACAAATATACCTAAATCCTAAATACCATAAGCTTTTACGTTTCTACACTAAAGTGCCGTACACATTTTATTGTTTTAAATTTAATAAAAATACAAATCGATCATTCTATTTTCTATATGTTTTTTCTATGCCAGTTAACTAATTTATTTATATATCAATAAACGAATATTATTGCTCAATCGTATTGGTCAGGTACAAAATAGTTTATCCTTGAGACTTTATCCTTTACTCTGCATTTTTTTTTTCACAATTTTACAGGCTTTTGAAAATTTGTCCAGACCCCCATTCTATTTTGCGTACGTATCGTGTCATCGAATTTCAATTATTGCCGTTATTCCATAAGATAAACAGGATAGTGATAGGTGAAGTTGGAATATATCCTTTGAAGTACTACGATTCCAGCTATTCGACTAATCCGGTATTCCCTCTGCAATTTGTCGCCATCGATAGTCTGCGCATTCTATCATTGTTGCTCGTACCACTTGTAACGTTTTAGCAAGTTCCAGTGCATTTTTTTTGTAATCTTTTACTCCATTGCTTATTTCCTTATCATTGTAGTTTTTATTTATTTAATTTAATTTAATGAGTCATGAGCTGAGAAGAAAGTCAAGAAGAAATAAATTATATATATATATATATATATATATATACACATATAAACTCATTACCATTTGAAAAAATCGAGTTTATACGTTGGTCGCACGATTAAAGAAATTACAAAAGTTGCGGTCGTTTCGATATTATAATGAGACAATTTATCTGCTCATAACCTCCCCTTACAAGATGGAGAATCCAAACAATTAGAACAAAGAAATTGTCCTCTTTTACAAATTTACATAAAGATTGATCAAAGAAATGTCGAAATTCGCCCTACTTCATTTAAGTTTATAAAATCGTTGCAACGACGTATTTTCATCCTAGGATCTATCAATGTAGACGTCTCTCATGAAGAATTATCGAAGATTTCTCCCAAACGAGTCAAATAGGATAATGTAAAAATGTAAACCGCAAAGGGCAAATATGTTGTTTATAATACTAGTGGTGACAGCTAAAATCGTGAACTAAGGACTAATCGAAAGACAAAAATATCACTCGAATTTACATTTTCAAAAGCTTAATTAAGAATATCACAATGGTAATCTTATGGGTATTTTTTATCCGTGAATAATAGGCCGTTGGATGTTTTAATAGTAATTAGCAAATTATGGCAATTGAGTGTTAGGAATTTGAACTACATTAATCGAAGATAATGTCAACATTATTTCGATTCCGTAACTAAACGTCTTCTGTTATTTTAATTACACTAGTAATTGATTCAGGAAGTATTCGTTAACTCGAGGAGATTAAACTATGGTTTAACTAAGTGAAATCTCATTTTGTGCTGTATTGGGTAGTATATCTCGGTCAGGTCACCAATGTCAATCGTACACACATCAATTTAGAAATGATCTTGGCAGCGCTAAGCCTGTAATAACTAATAAATGTAAGCGAGTGCGCAAGTTCCACCGAGAAAACTTCCCAATAAACTGTAATAAACATTCTCTTAAATTGTCATTTAAAGATTAATCCCAACAATCCATTGGTCTTTTAATCTACAATATTGTTAATTTGATGGATGAATTTTTAATTGTCAATACACTGTTCGCATTATTAACGATACATAATAATTTAAATATTTTTTTGACGATTTTTGTGAACGATTTTGTTTGTTTGTTATTCTTTTTTTTTTTTTTTTTTTTTTTTTTTTTTTTTTGTACAACGCTAATTATTATTAGTATTATTTCTCTCGTTGTCGTTAAAATGCTTAAGCATGTTTAATAAATATTTGATTACCCATAGCTACATCTAGCAAAAATTCTTCAACGATAATAATCAAATTTCGCATAACCATTCGAAATAAAAAAAGTTTTTAAGAATATGATCGAGTTTGAAATAATAATAATATAAAAATTAAAATAAAGAACATAAATCTCAAAATAATCTCTCAATCTCTTATATTTAAATGAATATGTTATTACAGATTAGAGCGATTTATTAGAAAGCAACCCAATTACAAACAATTTTTAAAAATATATTTTCAAAAGTATTCAACAACAATGCACTCACATGATTATAATCAATACTTTTTATAAGAAATATATTTAATTTAATTTCATCTGATAAATTATAGGTTCAATTTGTTTTATAATAAGAAATTTATCATGTACATATCGGGTACGTACATCGGGTATGTAATAATATGCACAGCTCATTTTATAAAAGCTTATTACAAAAAAAAAAATTTTTTTAATTTAAAATAACTATTTATAAATAATGAGTTAATAATCAAGTATATCTATGTATCGTACACAGCTGATTTGGATTTTTTGATAGATTCTATCCATTAAGATTAATGAAAAAATACATGGCACGCATTGTGGTAGTTTTATGAAATATTTGTCAAAATTTATATTCGTTAATAATGTATTTTTTTAATATTTATTATCTATTATTGGTTATTTTGAGGGTAGAAATTAATGAGAAATGAAATTAATACTACTTATAAGTCTTTTGGTAACGTGATAAACATAATAATTATTCGTTCAGAAACTTATGCTTTGTTAAGCTGGTTTATTGCTTATAAAGTCAGCTATCGTTTTAAAAATTCTGAAGATTTATCGTAATTATTTACTAATTTTAACGATTATTTATATTATTTTGCATATTTAGAGTAATTTTTTTTTTTTTTTATACGGCTTACAAGATTACTTGATTAATAAGAAATTAATTATTTTAATATTGCGCATCGCGCGTTACTTTAATAGTCTTAAGATTTAGTAGTGAGTAGTATTTATAGAACTTAACCGTTTAACAATATTAATACTGTAGAGCTTATTATATTTGCAGATATAATGCAAGCAAATGCAACTAAATACCTCAATCGCTTTAAATAATTTAATATAATTTAAGCATTACGGAAATATAAATCCTCAAACATTAACATTTATTCTGTAAAATACAATAAAAAAAAAAAAAAAAGAAATAAATTTTTTATTTAATTATTACAGCCGTATTATTTTAGAAATTTGTTGCATGGTAATAATCTATTTGAATATCAGATTGTCTTTAAGAATCTAATTGAATATCAAAATTTAGTTTGAAAAGGCGGTAAACCGCGTTATTTCTGAAATGAAAAACTTTCACTGAAAAATCATTATGCCGAGTATATTGCTGATTTCATCAGCAAGCCATTGCCACTCTCGTAAAAACATTAAATAATTTTAAAACTATAAATTTTGTTTTTTTCTCTTCTTTTTCCTTTTAATTACGTAAGCGCCATTGAAAGCAATTGGCGCCTGAATTTCCGTGATTAGACATAATATTTAATAATGTTCCACGAGCTCGAGTAGCGAGCACAGCTTCACCAACCGTCACAAACCAAAACGAATCTCAGCATTTGGTCCAACCAATTGTTTCGATAATTTGCTCCCTAAGCTAATAATGGAATACCTACCGCCGCCATTCTTCTGAGCGAGATAAGGAAAGCGCCAAACGTTGCCGAGTCCAACCGCGTAGCCGACGGTCGCAAGGAGGAAGGTCAGCTTACTGTCCCAGTTCTCCCTTTCATCCTCCCCGGCCTCCGGTTTGAATATTCCCTTGCCTTCCCCGCTGCCAAGTTTACTGCCCCCGCCGCCGGTCGCCACCAGCTCCAGATCCTTCCCACCACTCTTATTCTAGGCATTAAGTGAGCGTGCAATGCAGTGGACGGGCCATGGGATGACGCGCATTATTATAATAAGGATGAACGAGGATGGCGAGCTCACGTGTCATATTAATCGCAAGTGCACAAGTAACACCCGTCGGTGCGATTCTTCCATCTTGTTCGCTCGTTGTTTCAATAGCGAGTTACGTGGCCGAGTTACTACCGCGACTTGACGCGATCAATAAGGAAAATGCGAGCCAACCCCGTTTTAGGACCTTAACGTCAACGTTGATCCGCTGATTATCACATCGGTATTTGCGCGAAAATCCATTATTTGCGTTTTAATAATAGATCTCTTCGTACGCTCATCTTTGCATGACATGCGATGAAAATGCGACACTGAGCGTTTGAGCGTTAGAGCGTTCGAGCGTTTGAGATAATAATTGACATGTTCGTACTTTACCGACTCAACGATTATCAACGATTATTATATGATGAATTTTATATTTCGACCGATTATTTTGTGACTTTGCGTTAAAAAAAAAAAAAAAAAAAAGGATTAAAAATGACGAGGGCTTGGCACAAATGTATATTCTCGCGACTAAACAAATTTCTTTTAATTGTAATCATTGTATTGAAAATTGTGCTGAAATTATTTTATAAACTTTTCATTATTTAATTCAACGATTTAATTTAGGGGGACGAAAGCAACGTCATTTTCATCGACATAGATGTCTATATGCTTGCCAATTAAATATTTATGCAAACATTAAGCGACAATTGCTCACATCCCTATATCATTCGTAAATATACAATGCCCCTAGATCTTATTATAATAATAATAATATCTTTTCACTTGCCTTCCTATTAAACTCAAACGTTTAACTCAATCTTTACACTAAAGCGTAATTAAACCCCCAAAAATTTACGTTCATGCCCAATGAAAGCTGCAAATTTGCAATTCTAGGATGAAAACTTTGCGTTTATTAGCCTTTCGACCATTAATTATCTCGCTAAACAATTAATCCACTGACAAATGATGGATCATGCTGAAAAGAATGATTTAACTAATACGACAGATCAGCCAGTCGAATGACACATGTCCGGCTACCAGGTGGTTAAGGCCAATAATAGTTCACCTTGGCATTGGGACTGGAGTCCTCGAAGCCGGCGTTGGTAGTCCCGTAATTGGCAGTGACGTTGCTCATGCGACTCTCGACGACGAGTCTGCCTCGCATCTCCTTCATCTCCAGCTTGTCCACGCTCTTCTGAGGCTTCAGGTCGCGGGAGCTCTGCCTGCGCATCAGGTGAGCCGTATTAGCCATTTTTTACTTCTGATATCGCCTCGATTATCAAGGATCAAACAAGAATCGTGAAGACTGGCTCGTCCGTTGACTCCATTCTGCAATTTTTACACGTACAGTGGGCTTTTAATACTATTTATTTGGTTCGCTATCAGTGTACGTGTACGTGTGTGCAGTATTCTCTACCGGTGTAAGAAATCATATTGATAAGTGTAGCCCTAAATTCATATCAACGGTATACGTCTTCTTGTACATTGCATTCTAAAGTTAACGAATTCACATGGAAAATCACGGACTTTCATGCAAATTCAATGCTTTCTTTTTCTTTTTCTAAATCTTTAAACCATAATACTCGTTTGTTTAATTTCGGAGAAAATTCGCAAACTTATTTGACTGTGTAAAAAGTAAAAATTTAACACGTTATATTTGCAATTTTAATTTTTAATATTGAATATATTCTAATTTGAGGCTTAATAAATGACTCAGTAATATTCAAATAAAGTATTACATGAAAAAGTTAAGAATGAAGCAAATCTCATTATTAATGTTGTATTATTATTGCATTATTATGTTGTATTATTATTAATAATTGATGAGGGGATAAAATGATAAAACTTATCCGGAAGAATTTCCGAGAATGTCAAATAGAAATGCAATTTTGCAAAATCAAATTTTGCAAACGATAAATTAATCATTTCGGCTCTGTTAAGTGAACTGAATTTTTAATTAAAAAAAAAAAGTCTTTTTAGTTGAACTTAAGTAAGAGCGCTAATACTGATTTAATGATAGTAGAAATGAATCGATTAGAAGATATGAAAATATTGAAGTTGAAATATTTAAACAAAATTTTAAATAGATTTTGTAAAAAATGAATACAAATGTTAAAAGTTCTGCAATGTATATTGTTATAATAATTACAAATGGAAATTTTGAATATTCGTAGGATTTTTGTAATTAAAGATGAGTTCATAATGATATATTTTCATTTTTTCAACGTAATTTATCACTCAAATCTGACTACTTTATTTTAATTTTAACTCAATTGAAATTAATTCATTGTGATAATAATGGAAATTATTAATATATAGATAACTGAATAATATTAAAACGTGATAACATATAAATAAATGTCCTGCAATTAGTTTTATTTTCAAAATATAATACTGCAATCGCTATCATTTCTGTAGTAATAAATTCTGATAATATTTACACATACGTACGGATATATTAACAGAATTTTAAAAAGATATTTTTAATCATTTTTCCTTCGATAAATACAATATGTCCAATGTAATAATAAACGTTCAAGATCATTCAATCAATTTAAAAAAAAAGAGATAAAACTAAAACAATATTCTAATTGAAGGACATATTATTTAATAGAGCTTTTAATGTGCCAAATAGACTTAGTTAAATTTAATAAAGGCTAAGATAAAAAGAACTTTAATTCTTTAATTATATTATAAGAGTATTTTTATTATAAAAGTATTGTATATTGCTTTCAAATTATATTTACAGTTATTTAGTTAATTGTATGCTAAGTCATTGTAAGTAATTATATATTACTAAATGAATCAAAGCATTTAAATTTAAAACATTGCGCTTCAAGATTTAAGAGATTTATAATAAGCATAGAAAAATTTTTTTACCTATAATATATTGTCTTATGCTGAATTTAGTTTGTTTAAATTTTAACCATACAATAATAATAATGATGATTGATGATTTTTAATTAATTTATTTTTTACGTTATAATTTTTAGGATTGAAAAATTGAAAAATTGAAAGATTGACAAAAATTTGCGTAATAAATAGCAATAGAATTAGTATTGAAATTAGTATTTTTCTTATTTATAATTGAACAAATAAAATTGAAAATATTACTCGAATATCAAATACTTATAAAAATAACATGGAATAATTTCATAAAAAGGAGCATTGAAATAATCAATAAGTAAAATAAATTTTTAATTTTTATAAGTACAGAAAAATATACTTTTTTTATATTCTTAATTCATAAGAAATGTATATATATAATTCTATATGTTGATAATTTCATTCAATTGACGCTAAGTAAATATTATAAAAAAGATTTTTTTGCGCCGAAATTTTCACATAAACGATTTCTTTTCAATGTTCATAGAACAGAGAGGTAAAATAAGTTTCGATCTGTAAAAGTACAAATTTTATTAGAATTACTTTTCGATCCTAATTTGTAATGCAATTAATAAATAGAATATATTGTTATACAATTAGACAATTAAAATTTATAATTTTAATTTTTTTGATTTTTTTTCAATTAAATATACACCATATCGATACAAATCATAAAAATTTTGTAAAAAAAATTTGTATAATTACAGATTATGCATTACAATTTTTATTAATAAAAATAAAAATAAATATCAAAGAAATGGTTAAAAGTTTATAAGAAGAAAATGATATGTATATGCGTATGTGCGTGCTCGTTTGTTTATGTCTGTTTTTATTGCTATGAATGTGTCTGTGTGCATTCATGCGCGCGCGCGTGTGTGTGTGTTTGTCTGTGTTTGTTTGTTTGTTTGTTTGTTTGTTTGTTTGTTTGCCTGTGCGCGCGTGTGATAAAAATAAAGAATTTGATTTTTATTTTATTACTTTGAATTATACTTTTCTATATATTTATAACCAAGACCTCTGCAACGATCCAAATATTCATCTAAACCTTTAGAGAAATGAAAAATATTTGTTACTGTTAAAACAAAGTATTATGGAGTAGAATATAATTATTATTAATCGTAACAAATAAGTTGAATATTAATTTTTATAGTACAAGAATGTTGTTCTTTTTCTTTTTTTTATTTATGTATATACTTTAGTTCACAATATTTAATCTTTAATTAGAATCTTGCAATTTGTCAAGTAATAAGGTTAATAAATGTACACATCATTCATGAAATCAACTTTTAGAAAAGTTGCATAATGTATGAACTCGGTACTTTAAAACAGAAACTTAATATAGAGATAAGAACTCAAATAGTACAAACTTGTGAAAGAAGAATATTGGAAAAATAGCATAAGAAAAAGTTATAAAGTCTGAAAATTAAGTTTAAAAATTTAGATGAATGTTTCTTTAAGACTGACGATAAACAATTAATTTTAATGCAAAAAATAATCGAGCTAAATATAAACAAACGACAAATTCTATTATTTATTACTGTTATTTTATGTAAATTTATATAAAAGTATATCAATAATTGTAAATCTTATTTTAATTTTTATCATATTTATTAGGTGGCAACTGCTTTTGTCATTTCTGGATATTATTTACGATACCAGATCGTAAAAATTCATCAGGGAATATGCAAAAATAATTTTCCTTTAGCATTTCTTTTTCAAATGCATATATAAGTAGGAGAATGAAGCGTACCAACTTAATGATAAATGTTTACATTTCGACTACAATACTAGCTATTATATCTAATAATAATAATAATAATAATAATAATAATAATAATAATAATAATAACAACAACAATAATAATAATAAGAAGAAGAAGAAGAAGAAGAAGAAGAATCTTTATATTTTAATTACTTTGAATCGATAAGAAAATTAAAAAAGAAAAAAATTCATTTAACTTACTCTTTACGCATTACTAATACACAGTTTTGATCTATTTTTATAGGAGATTTCAAGACTCATTGTATTCAAAATAGATTCATTGTGTTTATGGAAGCTGTCGACAAAAAATCCGTTGTAACCGCTGGTAATTTCCGCAATAGCAACGATTAAGAATTTCTCCTCGGGCGATTTTCAGAAAATCACAACTATTAGATGACGAATTACGTATACACGTCCGTGTGCGCGCGCGCGCTAAATAATTCTAAACATTCTGCTTATCATCTAAATCTCGGATAGAATTCTGAAGTCTACTTTACATGAGATATACATTTACTTGTTATACGTTACTAAATTCAAAGACATTTAAATGGTTTTATATAAATTTCAATTATGACATGTTTTTTTTCTTTTCATTCAGGCATTGCCGCTCCACTTTCATTGCCTTTCACGATTTTTGTTCGTTTTATTTGAATTAAAACGGGGCCATCCTGGAGGTTATTATAATTTTTCTGCAGACTTTAGATGCATTATTACTCAAAAACACTTCAATATCATCTCAGTGAACTTTGTACATTGTATATGCGCGTACTTTTGCTTTTTTTTCTAATAGTCTTTATTATTTTCACTATGAAGAGAGTATTTTTGCATTTAATTGACTCGATGAATTATATAAAATTTTTAATTTAATAAGTAGCATATTTTTACAAAATTATTTTATCTTTTTACTCATCTTCTTCCTATCTTTTAATAGAATCGAGTTTACTTATAATATGAAATATGAATGACAAATAAATATTCTATAATTTTATTTAGCAATATATAGTGTCCATTTAATTATTTTTTTCTTATTCGATTCTTTTTTATTCCCTTTACGCTTATATTTGAATAAATGTTTAAATGACACACGCATGTCTTATTTAATTACCATATCATTGCTATAATACATTAATTTCAAAAATAGAAATTGTTAATTATTGGAATGAACCCTATTGTTTAATCAAATTACTTTGCGAGCAACAAGCGATGCTGAAAAATAATGTTTTATACTTTATCGTTCTTGATTAATACATGCTCGATAAACTCAAAATGTTTGTTAAGATTTATGAATATTTAAATTTGAGTCGATAGTGATTGAAAGAAAGTCCAGGAATGGCTATGCAGTTTAAATATTAGACACTACAAAATTGGTTTTAAAATTAATCTTGACATCAAGATATAAGTTTATGTTGTATAATTTTCGCATTTTCATGTAAATGTACGATATTGTTTAAATATTCAGACGGAACTATTTTGTTATTCAATCGTTTCATCTTTATTATTACAAACATCAATTTTATTCAAAATCTAATAATCGTTAGACAGCTATTGTTGAAACATTTTACATACGAATCGATGTAAATTATTTCTCTTGTATTTATCATAAA